TCAGGCTCTGGGTACGAGTTCAGATTACACCCTTCTTGTTTTCAGCTTCAAAAGGAAGATAATCGTTTCTGTCAGGCTGCCATGAAGCCAAAGCACCTGGTAACTGACAACACAGAAAGTGCTTTGGGAGGTACTCAGGAACCCATACTAGGGGGAGATATACTCAGGAATATTGGGAGGTATACTTAGGAACCCATACTAGGCAGAACGACCACTCCAAGACACAATTCCCTAATCCCCTGCCTTTATCAACTGAGCACATTAGGGTTCTTTATCAAAACGAGTTGGCTGAAGGGAGCTAGTGTGTGCTTTCCCAATTTTTAGGCCTTTGTTTAACAAAAAATAAACAAAAATCACACCACAAACACTAAAACCAGTCCACAGGAGTAATAAGCATAAGAAAATGTATAGGATAACGGTGTAAGATTTCAAAGGGATTTGCTTGTAACATCTTAAAAAGATACTTGAGCTTAAACCAAATTGTATCTTAGTGCTTAATACATTTTTTTTAAAATAATTATTTCAGGTTTGCCATCATGAAAAGATAGATTTTGTTTTAAGTAACGTTCTCATTTAGATTGTAGGTTATGCTGTGCCTTTTTTTTTTTTTTTTAAATATCAAACCTTACATTATTGTTCCTAAAGCAAATTGTTCAAGTATTTCCCACACTTATATCGGTGCTACTGATACAGCTTTGCAGCGTTCTTTTCCTTTTTTTTTAATATCCTTTCAGAAGTCTTCTACTGTGAAATTCCTTGCTTTTAAAAAAAAAAAACTAGTTTAGTTTTCTAAAATATTCATTCAATGAATAGTCGATGCATAACTTGTTTTCTTTTTGGCCTTTAAAAAAAGTAGTCTCATTATACCAAACTGTTAGAGAAGAAACTAGTCTAGGGCATTCAGAAAACTAGGTGTAGAGAATTAGACAAGCCAGCATGTAAATGAACTAACAAGTGGGAAGAAAAGGAAATATCACAGATTGATTTGATAATTTTGGGGAAACAGAGGTAAACGTCAACCCAAACAGTAACACCATCAGTCAATGCTCATGATTCCAAAAATTTTTCTAGTTACTACAAATCATTTGCTAGCTGCTATGTACAAAATGCTGCTGTTTTGTTGAGGAGAGAGAGACTTGGTCTCTGGAGTCCTAATTAAGAGCTGTTCTACTATAGGAAAGCCATGAAAAAAAACAGTGCTAGAGATTCACATTGGGACTAATCTCCATTGAAATCAATAGATCTGAGTTTAATTCAATTTAAAATGAAGGAGGAAGCAAGAAAATGATTGTTAGCAAGCTGAAAAGCAAGACCTTACAGTGGCATAAAATACTAAATATTTGTGATATGAAGGATCTCAAAGATCTAAAACGCTATTTTAAGACCCCTGGGGCTGGATTTTCTGTTAATTCTAGGCAACAAAGCAGCTCCCATTGCATGTCTAAATCTAGATAGGCAAAGAGATGAAGCACAAAATAAGACGACAACATAGAAACTGCTGAAGAACTGGCAAAGCTCTTCAAGTCCTGCAGGGTTTTTTCCCCCCTATTTATGGGGTACAGACAATGGGCAAGAGAATAGAAAAGGAACGTTTAAGGGAGAAGAACAATGACAGTTGCCTATAGCTTTTCTTCGAAGGCAGGATGGAAAGTGAACCTTTGGAAGGGATGTATAGACAACTGTTTTGCAGTGATAGATTCAACTATTAATTTCAGAAAATGCAATATGAAAATACGTTTGTTGAAGATAAATGCTGCTGTCCCCTGGGCAGCACAAATGGTTGTTTTATACTCAAGATGAGATCAGAAGATCCCTGTAGTACTCTAGAAGTCTTATAACTTCCAGGAATCCTTGTTTAGCAAAACGGACTCAAATTTTAAGCCTTTTTATTATATTATAGGAGTTAAACTGACAATAAAGAATCTATTTCTATCAGAAATTGGATTTTTATTTTGGTTTTGTTTTCAAATCTTCATATTAGAGAAAGTAAATATCTGTGTCCCCAGATATTTTCCCACGTACTCTTCTTCTGTTTTGAATAAGATTAAAATTATACGCATACTGCATTTCAGTATCACCACAATTACTCGCCAAAATACATATGCATAAATAGAGGTTTTACCAATATTTCCAACAGTAAAAGTGACTTCTACTAATTACAGGTACAAATTGTGAATGTTGGTGTCTTTTTGTTTAAATGTGCTTTAAGTTCAAACAATCAGTGTACATTGCATCAGGCAACATCTTCATTATAGCTTAGTTGTGCAGGAGGTTTAAATCTCCAAAGGAATATTACCTGTCCTCGTACTAACCCACTGCGGAGAAGAATTTATAATTTCTGTGTTCCCCTAAAGTCCTGTGACATTATCTGACCACCATTGACCAGTCTCAGTGTAGAAATCTCAGCCTAATATAGGAACTGAGCTGAACAAACTATAGCTACAGCAAGATTGCTGTTCCCTCACCTCTTTGAGAGCAGAGCATTTAGACATTGCATAGGTATCAAAAGAAACATTGCTTTTACTACAAACAGGCCTTCCAGAGAGTATTCATTCACTAAAGCAGAATGTCAATCATTGTCATGCTCATCTTCAGTCAAGCATAATGCAGTTTTTTCCCTTTTTAGGTTAAGCCTTCACTGCCAGATGGGCACCTGAAACCCCAGAGATTACTTGCAAAGCTGCACAGAGAACAAAACTAGACAGAAGGAAAGTCAGCCCCTGATAGTTTCCCAAAATGATAAATTTTTCCTATTCGTATTTAAGCTTTCATATGTCAGTGATTGCCATTAGTTGGATACTGATAAGAAAGATAAAAAAAGACTTAAGAGATAACTGAATACCCAGGAACATGAAAAAATGAGAATGAACTTCTTTTGCACTGATTTCTTACAGATATCTATAACAAGGATAGAGAACAATTCAGTGTGAAAAAGTCACAGGAGAAAGTTACAGCCAGTGTCTCTTGGGGCATAACTTCTACCGCAAGAATCTGCTTGTATGTACAGAACACGGATGATATTCATACATAAGTGTAATTAAATCTTACTCCAGATCTTCAAAGAGAAATTCAAGGATATAGTTGAGAACACAAGTTTTCACTATGTGCACCTCTGTTTTTTAAAACAGGTTTGTTACTCCTCCAAGGTGAGCACAGCACTAACAAAGTAGCAAGTTGCTTCTGTATCTTCATTTTCAGGAAAAGATGAGACACACCTACTGGGCAACCTAGGGAAGCCCAGAGGCAGCTGGAGCTCATTCTCTAGGGGTCATAAAAGGAGACTTCTACCCTCCTGCCCCTCGCTGGAGGATCCTATTCCCCACCTGCAGCTTTCTCATAAACCAAAAAGTTAAAATAATTCAGTTGTCACTTATTTGCTTAACTAGATGGCATGTCACAACATGCATTTGAAATACGCTGAATATAAGCATTCTGAACTTATACGTTTTCTCCTCCAACATTTATTACAATCTTCTGTTTTACCTATAGCAAACTATAATGTATTTACTGAAACACTTGCAGTACTCAAAGACTCACAATATTAATTATTCAGTCAACCTGTACTGGCACACTGAATTTAACATGCCACATTGAATTACTGATGGTTTTTCTCATTTTACCAAATCAATATGGGGCAGCGACATCTGCAGTTCCGCAGGCACATTTTCTAAACATCTGTTTCCTTAACTACTGTAGTGTCACTAGTTTGAAGCACACATCATATCTTATAATGTGTGAAGTCAGGGATCAAAACGCACAAATTTTTCATTCATTCTTCTTTACTCTAGAGAGTAAAATTTCTGCATTTTAACCGTAAATAATAGGTTTACCAGGATACCACAGAATGTATTCATTTTTCTGTATTATATTAAAAATATTTTAATTGCCATAAAAAAACAGTATGCAATTTTGGAGTGTTCTTATAATAGCCAGGAAGAGAACACGTATCAGTACAGATATACGTAAATTAAACCCAATCATTCCAGTATCAACATTTTTCAGTGTTTTAAACATTAGAAATATATATTTTAAATATACTATTACAGGAAAAGGGCAAAATACATCCAAACTATTTAACAAAAAACAAACTGGTGGTAAAATTAATCTAAAACTTCTACAAGTTACCCATGTTTATATTCATTCCTGGACAAGTGAGATGGTCATTTAAAGCATGCTTTCAGCCTTTTTCCTCATGTGGGGAGCACAGAACTGTTCTAGAGAACTTGTCAAACTGCATTATCTATAGTAGCCATTAAAATTCTGTAATGTAAGGACTACTATGCTGAAGCACAATCGCTTCAGCAATTAACTTAGAACTAAGAATAATCAACTTAAGACTATATGAGCTGTAACTTGCTGATCATCTGAGATCAACTATTCAATGTTCTCACAGTGATAGTGCTTAGGAGGCAATGCCGCAGTTGTATCTTAAAGCTTACGAACAAAAATAAACTCATATTGTACTCTTGCTTTAGTACCAGAACGTACGTACTATCTGCGTGATTTGTTCTTGCCTACCTCATATATTTCCGTACTTCCTAGTGAAGAGTAGGAGCTAAGTGACTCAAGATTCCTTCCTTGCACTAATTATTGAGCAATTAATAACTGAAATGAGCGTAGAGCTATTATTAGTTAATTCACTGATAGCCTAAAAAGCTTAGAAGAGTAGAAGAATAGAGATGGAAGACAAACTTGCAAAACTACAATTAAAACACTGTTCTGAGCTATTTATCAATGTAACCTGAAGTGGAATTTACCACATTTTAAAAATATTTCTGTTACAATTAGGAACCATATTGACTTTTTCTTTTCTTATAATACAGCTATCAGACAGGAAAATAATGCATGTTATGTTTTGCACTAAATCTTTATAAAAACTTTTATGCACAAAACTTCATCTGATAAATACTATGGATGTAAGATGATGTCAGATCATTTTATTTCCGTGCCAAGCCTCCTGTAGAAGGGAAAACAAGAGACTTGTTCCTGAGATTACTTACCCATGAAGTTCAGATAGCTGTCTCCTCCAAGTGCATGAGTAATGAGACGAATCATTTTATGAAGCTGTATTCCACGATCAATAACTGGAGTAAAAGGGGAGAACACGCTCATGTTTGTGTACATCTCTGCATCCATCAATCGAAATGCCAATGTCTTATCACCAACAAGTGCCTGTAATAATCAAATAAATAAAAGGAGAAAATCCTTGGCTATAGTTGAAGTACCTGGATGTACTAGAAGATGCCAGAAGTGTTTCTAACGTAAATTTTTAAAAGCAGGTGTTCTCCATCCAGTGTAAAACATGTCAGCATAATGCAATAAACAAGTGAGTTACCATTTTGGAATTTGTATAGAAATAGAAAATAAGACAGAAAATATCTTAAGTAAATTTCCTGAAAAATACAAATAAACAGCTATTTAAAGATTTTTTTTTTTTAAAAAAAGGCCACACAAATGCTATGCAATCAGAATTATTTTAATATATTAGTATGCAGGAAGTTGAAAACATATTGGGGTGTTTGTATGTAAATTGCCAATTTTTGTTCTATTGGCCCCATTCTCATTTTATACCCTATTATGAAAACATCACAGTTTCCACAGAGAAAGCAGTTTTTTTTTTTTTTTTTTAAACAAAAGACACCATCACACACACACATTACTATGCAACTATGGCAATAACTATTTACTAAGTGCAACTGTATGAGACCAGGTCACCTATCTGGCTTACTATATTGGCTCCAAAAATAGCCAATAGCAGATGCCCTAAATAAAGCATATTTGCCTGACAATCACCTAGCAATACTTCCCCAAAACATTATCCTAACGATCACAGCTCAGGTACTTTGAGATACAGGCAGTACAGTTGCATTTCGGAGCCTTCAATAAAATACGTTCAATCCCTTTTGAACTCACATAAACTTTTAACAAATACAGCATCGTATGACAGGTAGCTCCAGAATTTTGCTTTACACTAGTGGGATGGGGGAGGAATACCTCTTCTCTTTACTCAGAACCTGGCATCTATGTTTCATTTAATGTCCCCTGATCTTCCCATCAGAACACAAAGCAACTGTTCCCTACCCATTTTCTCCATGCCAGCCATGATTTTAAACTGCTGTCATTCTCCTCCTGCCCAGTGATCTCTTTTCTACCGTGAGGAGTCTTAGGCTATTTAGTTTTCTTCTTATGAAAGCCATTCCATACCTTCTATTATTCCTACCAACTCTCAACATTTTTTCCAGTTATGCTATATCTCTTTTGAAATAGAGAACCAAATCTGCAACCTCCATTCGAGATGCAAGCGAACCATGAAATACTACAGTGGCATACTGATTTTACTTTTTGCTCTCCATTCCTTTCATACCCATTTGAAGCACTGAATTTGTTTTTTTGGCAGCTATTAGCATTGAGTTGATATTCTCATATATATTTTTGCAACCATGAGGTCCTGTGCTCTGATTGGTAACGGTTAGCTTATAGTCCATTATTAGGTATAAAGAGCTGGGATTGTTCCAGTCCCTCATGTGCACCACATTGACTGCATTTAAATAAAGTAAGGAAGTAGATGAAATTCAGTGCATCTATCCTGCTTTTCATACATCATTCTGGAGTCTTCCTGTAACCCTCATAGTTAGCTTTTTTTTTTTTTTTTTAAATGAAAAATATATAGAACTTCCACCCAAGTATGTGATTCCAAAACAAACAAAAATGGTGTGGCATGCAAAACATAACTGATAAAATCCAGCATGAAATATAACAATAATGAAAATAATGGCATATGTCATGCTTTAGGATGAAGATTCACTATGAGACAGGCAAGGACACGTTTTATAAAAGACAATCACAGAATAGTATGTATTTCCAAGTAGTACCTAACAGTTTTTACTAGGAATCGGACCCTGCTCTTGTGCTTGAAATGAACATTATGCTCCTGACTTGGAGGAAAAAAGATAAATAAAGGAATCTTTAGGAATCAAAAGGAACCTGGTAAACTCAGAATTCTCTTTTTAAAGCATAACATAGGTCTTGTTTTGAACACTTTGGCAGGCTTTTATAACAAAGGCATAGGAAATAGGAAATCAACCTCTATTAGGTAAAGTAGAGAGTTGAAGGCAGGTTACTTAAACCTTTTACTGGACAAGTTTCGAGTTCTTTATTTTAATGTTTTCAGCCAACATTTTATAATGAAAAGGTATGTGTTTTGTTATGTTTTTCCCTCTTTTGCCAGTGAAGTGAAAGGTAACAAAATTTACTCAGTGCTCTCCGATTCTCTGGAAGCAACCATTAGAAAGATTGGGAGAGAGGAGTGCTATCTAAATTCATCCTTAGTTTTTCCATTTTTCCATGTATAGTAGCCAGTAAAATTGCTGTGTTTAATTTCTTGTCACAGTCTTTTTCACACTGAATTGTTAAAGAATACTTCATTTAGATCTCAAAATAGCATCGGGGTTTGCAATTTTTTCTTCTTAAAGGTAACAGAATAAACACACCAACATTGTTTCGGTGAATCAAACTTACTGAATTACCATAAACCGTGCTCTCACTTACTTTATGGAAACTGTGTTTTCAGAAAGTATGGATCATATGCCTATACCCTATGACAAGCAGACAAAACAGGAAGCTAGGACTCCTTTATTGCTAAAAACAAACAAAAAAAACTGATGCCCCTCTCTCCGCAAAAACAAGCGGGCGTCCAGACCAACTCATCTCTGAAAATGCTGCCTACCCTTTTCAACTATAGCCTCGATTTTCAAAGACAAAACCCACTAAACCTCTAAAACTCATCTTTTACTTGCTTATACATAAACAACTAAATAAACAGATACAATACCTGGTCATGGCTTTCTGCATATGCAATGTACTTTTCTTCATGCCGCCTGTTCGTTAATGTATAGACAATATTGCCCATGTTCCAGTCTTCATCCTTCAGCTCTTTAATTATCTTTATAAATAAAGAGGCAATTAAAAAGTTACTTCTGTTTTAACTAAAAGCACGTTACTACCTCTCCTCATTACTTTGGCAGAAAAAAAAAAATTGCCAATAAGTTGTAAACATTTGTTATTACTTTAGTTTCGCCTAATTCCAAGTTTAAAGTGATGAACTTTCTGTGATAATCCAAATGGATTTCTAGCTTTTGAATTCCACTGCATTAAATATAATTATTTGAAAATTTTTTTGTTTCACCTGTACTGCCACAGATAACCATGGACAACAGGACATCTACTATATCAGTCCTCCGATACACTGGACCACGTGGTTGATGTGAGGCTGCCAGAGAGCACTTGTGATTAAAGTGGGGAAAAAAGTGTGTGCACACACATATCTACACATGAAAGTAGTCTCGCATTTCAAGTAATCACAGAATGGGGCAGCTTCCTTGATAAGTTAGATCAATGGTAGCTGAAGCATTGGGCTGTTTGATAGAAAACGGATCACAGCAAGATAGCACTACACTGTTTGCCATAAAGTATGCAATAAAGTAAGAACCCACTAAGTGTAGGGACCTCCATATTCCCTGATCTGTAAAATTAAGGTAATTTCCAAATCACAGCTTCAATTCCACAGCTTTGGAATCTAAACCATTTTTTTTTAATTTTTGCTATGCTAGCTCCTAAATTTTAGCCATTTATATTAAATTATAAATTTCTGGCTCACATACCTCTTCTATATCTACTGTAACTTCAATTAGTCCTTTTTTTTTCTCCTATAGTACTTTATAGGCCCCCACTGATAATCCCAACTTTAAATACACATACACACAAATAATATGAATAAATATAAAAGTGACAAAAAGAAGAGATGTCTGATATGATGCTGTATAATTTAACTTTCTGGTTGTAACTGGTCATGTACTCTTAAAAGAGTTCGAAAAATCTGCTTTTTTATTTATTCAGACTTGCAGACGCTGAAAACATTCTGTTCCCTATGCAGCACCATGTTATTGTGTACCCAATGGTTCTGTAATATGAACTACTATAGCCACTGTCATGACAATCAGTTTACCTTAATTACTTTTTATTTTTTTATTTATTTTTATTTTTTTAAATAAAGATATACAGATTCCTCAGAATCAGTTCATGGAAGCCTAGAGACCCTTCAGGTTTGAAACTGCTGTTTTAAGAAGTTGCTTTGAAAACCTTGGTATATAATAGGTACCTACTTAAGTGCTGGAGAGGAAAGTCAGCAAGACATCTGTAACATCATTTTGATAATGGCTGGTAGGCTGTGCTTCTGAACTTAACAGTTCCAGGTTTATTCTTGTCTCAAGAAGCATGGCAGCAAACTCTGAGCATCACCCCTTTTTTTAACTGAGTCTTCAGATGTAGGTGCTTACTCCCAGTTTCCTTACTTAGGAGCATTCTGCCTGAATCACTATGTTTGTTGTACAATCACCAAATTCCTAACTAACCAGAGTCTGCTGGGAAAAAGCCTAAACTGTAAGAGCTGAATATCCCTTCAGTATGCAAACACCTTCTGATAACATTCATTTACCACTCCATGTTAAAGTATATAATGTTACCACCTCTGACACTGAAGGAGATGAGCGAGGCTCAGCAGTAACCATGTATGTTGGAAGCCATTCCCCAACAGTTAAAAGACAGAACTTACTGCATGATAGGCATTTGCTTCCATTCAGTGTGTTGCAAATGAAAATAAGCTAGCCCTATCAGAGATAGCCAAGAGATTATTTATCTTTTGTCCCTGTAAAATTCCTACAGTGTGTATTTTCATTTGTAATATAGAATCAGCCACTTGCATTTTACCTACCTAGGAAGTCATTCCTCTTTGCCTACCATAAAATGGGCTAGGGAAGCTGAACATAGGAGCAGGGGAGGGAGGTGGGGGAAGGCTGGCAAGTTTGCTTTTTGCCTGAAAAGAAATGAGAGGTTTAACACTATTCGGTCCCCCATCTCCTACTTAATAAAAGTTAAGAGGCTAAGGATAAGTTAATTCACATATATATATATATATATATATATAAAAACAGTAAATATTTTATATGAGCATTAATGACTTCAATAAGGGTAGTTAGTAGCTTAAATATATATATATATATATATATATATATATATATATATATATATATATATATATATATATATATATATATATATATATATATATATATATATATATATATATATATATATATATATATATATATATATATTTAAGCTACTAACTACCCTTATTGAAGTCATTAATGCTCATATAAAATATTTACTGTTTTCAGATTATTATGATAGCCCTGAGGATTTAGGTGCAATCTTATGTCTAACTGAAAGACATTCTCTAAAACACCAGTGAAAGCTTTTTGAGATTATCTACAGCTCTCATTTCAGCCCCTAACATCTGTGCTTAAGCCTATAAGAATTTATTTTGATAGTACCTTAAGATAAGAGAGTAAAATTTGTCCATAAAATTCAGAAAAGCGAATTTGTGTACGTGCAGACACAGAAACACACTAAAGTGTACGACATATTTTAAAAACTATTTTCTCACCTGTATCCACTTATCTGGAATAGCCATGGCCAGTCTATAATCAAATCCCCCTCCTGCCTCTGTAACAGGACGGCAAAGAGCTGGCATTCCAGAAACATCCTTAAATAAATAAAACACAACATAATTTGGTTAATACTGCAATTATTAGTTCAGATTTTCTACTATGCTGCAGTACTTTTATATAAATACTATACGAACAGCTTCCTAGGTTGACATGGGTATAGGAACAAAATCAGTGGTGTTTGATACGCTCCTTTTTATACCCACACTTGCTATTTTAATGAAAAAGTTAGCTACTTTTCTCGTCAAATACTCTACTATAAGGAATTTTATTAGAATAGATATTTGAGAGGAAAGAGACCTCAGTATTTGTCAGTTGAGGCAGATTTTGAAATGATTAGATCTCTTGAGCTCCAAGTAATCAATAGAAGATAGTCAAAGAAAGACGAATTAAACATTCATTTTGTTTATTGATATTTTACAGAAAGAACAGCATGAAAACAAGAGATTGAATAAAGTCCAGTAAGGAAGAAAAATACCAGCTTTATTCTTTTTCTAAATGCACAATAAGGAAACTATTGATCCAGCTAGCCCTGAAAAGTGAGATGCCCTTATTGCATAATTCTCACTTTCACACTGACGCAGGCTGATCGTTCTTAAATTCCTAGTTCAATGTTCTTAAAATAAACGTTCAATTTACCATATAATTAAACACTTCTGTCACATAACATTCCTCCTCCTAAATTTGATTTATCTGCGTAGAAAAAAAAACCCACATAAGTGCAAGTTATCTATCAATACTCAATTTTACTATGTGAATCAGAAGTCATCCACCATAATGTTCATGGATTAAAAGCACACTTTTGTGTCTACACAAGAAAATTAGTAGAATTAAATTTTGACTAAGACTCAGGTTTAGTTAGAAAATTCATTTCAGTGTGCTGGATTCAATCCAGTTTCCAATTCAATTGCTGCGTTTGGCTAGGTCTACATGCAACAGCTCCCCAAGAAGGAGGCTTCAAAGAAAACATTCATTCACTGCAAAGTGTACATTAACAACTAAATGATTAGACCTTGTAAGTATTCTTCAGAGTGAAAAAAATTTGCAGTTAAAATCATGTATTTTTATATATACCCTATGTTGACCTAGTGGAGGAAACAAAACACCACCTCACGAAATTTGTGGATGACATACTGGGGGGTGGACTCCAAATGTTGAGAGCAGGGCTGCCATGCAGGGGGACCTTAACCAGCAGAGGAATGGATCAACGTAAACCTCATCAAGTTCAACAGGACATTACCGATTCCTGCACCTGGACTAATACCCTGCTTCAGCACTGGCTGGGGACTGCAAGGCTGTGGAGCAGCTCTACTGGAAAAAGCCCTCGTGCTCTGGGAGGCAGTATGCTGAGCATGAGCCAGCAGTCTGTCCTGGCAGTAAAGAGGCCAACAGCGCTCTGGCCCATACGAATGGCATAGTCGGCATCAAGGGAAGGGATTATCCTCCATTACTCAGCACACGTTAGACCACATAGAATAACTACATCCACTTTTTGGCTATCCATTACAAGAAAAACACTGACAAACTGAAGTCAGTTCAGCAGAGGGCCACCAAGATGATCAGGGCGGGAGCACTTGCCCCATGAGGGGACGCTGGAGAACTGGGGCTTGTTCAGCCCAGGGAAGAGATAGATGGCCTCAGAGGGGGGACACCTGACAGCAACCGATACTTAAGAGGAGGTTACTGAGGAGAACATGAGACAACAGGCATAAATTGATATAGAGAAGGCAACATAATGGGGTGGGGGGAATCACTGTGAAGTTAACTAAGTACTGGAGCAGGTTGTCCAGAAAGGCTGTGGGATACCTGCACTTGGAAATTTTTTTTTAAGATGAACTGGGCAAAGCCCTGAGCAACTTGGTATGAGTTCACTGTTGACCTTGCTTTGAGCAAGAGGTTGGACTAAGATGATCCTAGTTCCCTTACAATATAGATGTATTTATGATTTCTTTTGAAGTATTTATCTGTACTTATGCATTTCCCACACAGTTTTACCCTTTCAAATTACTGAAGAAAATTAATAGTGAAGTATGAGAGTTTCCATACTGAAAAAGGTACAGAAGCCTTGAAAATGTAAAATAAGCTGTCAGAGGAATTTCTGCATAACGCAGTATTTTCCACAACATTGGGTCTCCTCATGTAGACACCATCATATCAAGGTGAAGACGACTAGAAATTCCATGTGCAGTAGACCTCTAAGTTTAATGAAGCTGAAGCTTCTTTAAACTTTTCTGAACCTTTCCCTATATCCAAATGTTTTAACGGTCCTCCTGAATCAGTCAGAAATAATAAAAGCAGGACTAATGCCCTCACAGATATGTAGCACAAGAAGATATGAAATAAAGCCTTTCTATGTGATGCTATGATGCCTACTCGGACAAGGGGAGAGTTTTTGAGATTTAAGTAGCTTCCATCTACCTTATCCACAAGTTAGAAAGTCAGATTGTTGGGAGGTAAAAGTAAAACATTTAATAATATTCATCTATATCTAGAGTTTACTTGAACACTAAAAGTCAGTATTAGTTTATTCAATATAAATTTCCCCCAAAATTCAAACAGCCAAAACCCAAACTTTTCTTCAGATTTGAGTTTCTCTTCAGCATGGGCTGCAGAAATTACCGTAGAAGAGTATTTTTTGCCTTTTTGTTTTAAAACCTTCAGGCATAATGTAATTTACCTATTAACGTTTGTTCCTCTAATTATACAAAATTTTAATGACAGCTTTATTTGAAAGGCCAAATGAAAAATAAGTATTAGTCACTAATATCTAAACTCCTGGAAACTACTAAAGCAGTAAATACATAAAATATTAAAACTCTACAACAATTGTCAGTAATTAAGGTATAAATTGCAATGATAGTTAGATAAAAACATATTTTTCTCCTATGGCACTCATTCCATTGTCATTACAGGCAAGCAGGAATTCATCATAGCCGTTTATAATTTTCAATTATATTAAGTTTCTTCCTTTGAAATTCTCTTTCTACCACAAAGCATGTTGATCAATTCTATATTTTGTATAGTGACTCTCTATAGTAAGAAAAATAATGTATTGAAACAGATAGAGCTTTCAACTTAAGAGAAACTGAAGACATATCTTGAAAAACTTTTAGGCCAGGTAATACAAGCAGACTGAACTCAAAATTTCATTGACAGGAAGGCATATAATCTAAGAATCCATAGATAATGAAAAAGTTGCACTTGAAGTAAGCCTACAGATCAACAAACACACCTCAAATTTATTAATCAGTAATTGCTTACCAGCTGGTACTCAATACCTTATCATTACCTTTTAACAGTACTTGCCTACAACTTTGCCATACATATCAAATGAAGTTAGCACTATTTTGTTTTCCAAAGATGAAAATGGAACTCTTAAATAATACAAAAAGCTTTATTAAGTTTGTATGCTCCCTAATAATATCAATGTAACGATATCCCTAATGATGCAACTTTAAAAAATGAAAATAAACATTTCAATGTAACAGAGAAATCCTCAACCTTTACTTGTTCTCTTTTAGATGAAAGAGATAAAATGCATATCAGTAAAAAAAAAAAAAAATTCATTCTAAGAAATTTTGCACACCAGTGTTTTCCACAGAAAAAATAGTTTAACTGTTCTCAAGTCACGTAAATAATATAGTCCATTTATTGCCCCAGTAACAGGGGAAATTAATACTAAATATAAGTTAGCATACACATTCAACATTTATTAGTTTATCACATTTATTATAAAGGGGAATTGTCAATTATGCCAATATAATTCAAAATATGCAAAATAGCACTGGGGCTCTTAATCTTTAGTACCATGAATTGCTAGTGACAAACAGCAATCATGCAACAGCAATGAACTAATAAAAACAAACCTTATTACACATTCAAAGGAGGAGGCAGAAAAAAAAAAAAAGAAAAAGAAAAGAAATCCTACAATGTTTAATGATCCATCAGCTCAGAGAAAATCCCAAAGTGCATATTCCAGTTGTTTTCCATCCCTCACTCAGAGGTAAAGATTGTCCACTAATTAAAATTTATCAGCTCATGTCACTCCTTGAGCACCTGAAGTGTGACTAATAATTATCAGGAAACATGCATCCCAAAGAAAACTAATCAATATTAATGTCATTGCATATGACAAGTTCTGATTTTACCTCTGCTATGGTTATGCATTCCGGATGCAATAAATTAATCATGTAGTTGGCCAGCATTAGATAACACAAAGCATCTTCATCCACATGTAGGCCAAAATATTCATTGTAATCCCCACTGAATCCTGTGCCTAATAAGACAAGAAATTTAAAGGACAGAGTAACTATTTTTTAAACAAGAATATTTTGCAATTATGCAATTTCATAAGCACTGATTTTTTTTTTTTTAGTCCTAATTTCTAATCTATCCATGTAGAAGCACAACAAAATATTAGATAATCTGGCAAATTTTTGAAACATTCAGTTATTTTTTGTATTACCATTTCTACAGCAATAGAACTGCTACAGCAACAGGACTGCTTAAATAAAGCTGCTTGAATTACTTACCTATCCCATGATTATGATACAACATAGATGTAACACCATCAAATCGGAAGCCATCAAAGCCATAGTCTTCTATCCACATTCTCAAATTAGACAGAAGGAACCTCAAAACTTCCCAGCTGAAATAACATGAATATTTTCTAAGCTTTAGAAACCTTGGAATCAACTAGAGTTCCTTATACGATATGTTCCCCACTTGCATACACACTAGTCATACTAGACGTTTTACCATTCTAATGATTGTTTTTTCGCCTCATTTTTCCCTGGCATTTTCCTAAAAACTTTAAGTCTTCCTTGAATCTTTGTCCTTTACTGCACTTGATTTTAAGATCGAAGATGTTATTTTGGAAAAAAGTTATCAATTATCGATATAGACACCCATGCTAATGTTTTAACATAGATAATATGTTTTAGTATATATATTTGTCATATTACATTTGCCTCTCAGTATGATTATATTCTGTGAGAAAAGATCTTATAGAAATGAAAATAATAAACAAGAATTAGTCACCAGTATTTCATGTATTTATAGCAATTTCTAGACCTAATAGAAGCTTTTATTTATTTAAAAATCGTAAGTCACCAGTAGATAGCTAGCACCAAATCACCAACTATATTACAGAACTCATTTAAAGAGCTAACCAACTAATGAAAGTTGAAGAGGTATTTTTTGCAATCAAGAACAACAGGTGAGAGTTATAACAAATACAGAAAATAAAGAGCAGGCATGAAAACACAAATATAAAAGGGTTTCCAAAGTGAGTAAGCAGGTTCAGGCAACTGTGAACAAAATTCATATCAAAGAGATAAACAGATACAAAACAGATTTCCTGAACTCCAAGTCCTCTCCTCGCTCAGAACGCATCTCTCAGTAGCTTTGTATCTTGCCCCTACTATTCACCCCTTGCGCCACGACCCTCTGAGACCTTCGGGCACAGGCTGCTCCAGGTGCACCTCTTTCTCTGCAAAGGAATGCTCCAAACAGCTCCTCCCCCTGAAGCAACTTTGCTGAGGGTTTTTAAACTTTTCTTTCTTGCCTATACGTCTTCAACCCTTGCCAGTTTCAGGATTTATCTCAAATCTATTTCCTGACATAGCACAGCTACAGTCCCACTTACTACTGACTTCGTGCTCAGAGAGAACTGCATTTTAGGTAGAAGCATGCAGAGTGAGTCCTTGTGAATGCCTGCACGTGAGGGAGCTGTTGGAGGCAGTAGGCCCAGCTCGGAGTAAGTTGTGAGTAGGCCTGGTGTAAGTTACCCTCTGATGGGTAAGAAGTGGGATATGCCAAGCACATTAGTCAACATTAATAATATAATTCAGCTATGCACTTGTTGACAGTAACCAGAAAAAAGATCCTTTGAACGCTTCACTATGTTTCACAGACTTCAGAGGCAGTGTACTCACAACACAACTATGACACATGGAATAACTCAGTTTTGACAAAACAAGTTTCCCCACCATCCTTCCTCCCAGAAACTTCCTCATACGAAGGGTGTTTTAAAACAACTGGAGCTAATGGTGTTAAACGAAGGCATGGGGACACACTACAAAGTGCAACAGCCGCTAAAATCCTGATCTCACCGAATGGTCAATTCCTCTTTACTTTACTTAATATAAGAATATTGATTCCTGTCTTTGCATGTACTGCACGCACATATACCTGTGCGTATAAAGACAAATGTTACCAAATCAAAAATTCTGAAATTGAAAATGTCTCAATTCAACATACCTTTTTAGGTATGCATTAGATGACAAGTTTTTTTTTTTCCCCCACTCTCAATCATCCAGTTGACAAGATAACCCTATACTAGGGACATCTAGGTAGTCTGTCCACTGAACCTCTTTAATATATTTATGATTTCTGAGGAGAGATGGTTTACAATGAACGAACAATGACAAAAGATACTGCTCTGATGCTGAAAGCACTTGAAAGCTATTCAAACTCCTGCGAGCTGGCAAGCTGGTCACTTAAAAACACGACTTTTCAAATGCTTGTTGTGTCTTTTTCTGACTCAGCATTAGATCTGCCAAAATGCTGTAATCTCAATACTGTGAACAAAGTCAGCTGTACTGTGATAAAAATAATCTCACTTGCAATTGAGATGATGTTACATATAAAAAAAAAAAGTAGATTAATCGCCACAAGCACCAGCCAGATTTAAAAATTACTTTTCCTCATTACAGAATGCTTGACTTTATAACCTAAAGTTCTTAAGACAGTGAGATGATTTGTACATTTGCAAAATACACAAAGTTGTCCCAAGGTAGTCAGTAAATATTATTATTTCCAAAACGGTTGTCAACAAAGAATGATCTTTAGAAAAAGATGGAGAAGCAGTATGAAAATAAAATTATAATGACTTCAGCAAGGACAACTTACTACAGAATAAACAACATAAATTTGAACCAAAGGTTTAGCCAGACAATTTTTGAGATCAAAAACCTGAGTAGGAATGGCAGATGTTCTCTATCACCTGAACTGGGGTGGGAGAGAAAAACTATGTATTAAAATAAATAGATTTTTAACTCTGATTCTAGTCTAAACTTGGAAAAGTTCACAGTTCAGATAATTTCTAGGAAGAATATCAGATCTTAGCAATCGCACTGTCCTCTAGAGAGGTAATGATACAGCTTCAAAACAACAGCTAACAATGAGTATAACTTTTTTGAAGCACAAAAACCACACAAGTCATATCATGGCCTACGATTTCATCCAAGTAGATTTGTTTGCAGAAGCGGCAGTGTTAGAAACAGAAGCTGACAGAAAGAGTAGGTAACCTCGTACCATTCCAATAGAGGCCAAAACCCAACAGAGGCAATGGAAATATACTCACTATATAAGAAATAATGCTGAAACATTTCTTAAAGAAGTAGATTTTTCAAACAGATATGGAAACAGGACAGCATTCATTGAGAATGTAATTTCTTCTGGGAAAAAGCCATATCTTAAATCATATCCTAACCCTCTCTCAAATTTTTGCACACCATAAAAATTGAGAAAGAGTTCTTTCATTGCATGCATGATCTAAGAGAGGAAAATATATGCTGTATTATCATTAAGGAACAGAATGATTTATACTTTAAGAAATACAAGTAATGCAGAATTCACTAGAAAGACATCATTCAAAACAAAGAATGCCTCTGCAGAGAAGTCTCGAGTGCCCCCTTGGGGCCAACAGCTCAAACATTTTCAACTGAGAAGTCTGTTTTTAAAGTGAAATGAGCCCATCTAGCTAGATGACCTGGTTTCACAAGCTGATAAGGAATTTAACAACTTTCCTAAGTCAGTCAGCAGAAAACCTATAAAATTGCTTGTAAGCCACCACCATTATTTACATTTTTCTTCCTTCTGAACTAATAAAAAGACAAAATAAGTGATCTGCTGTAAGAATCCTAAATTCCAATCCATGATGACTATGAAATATTTGAATGGAAGTGAATAATAAATTCAAACCAGTTAAATCTTGTCATGATGGACAAAAGCAGAATATTAGTTGCATCTAAAACAGTTTGAAGGTGCAATTTTTGAATCATGTTCACACTGACATTCAAGAACTGTATTTATCATTATGCATTACAGAAGGTGTGTGGAACTGCTGACAAGATAAGAATCTAGACATTTATGATGATTTACCTGTCTTCAGTTCTTAGTGTATAATTAACACAGAATAGGACTGAATTAATGAAATGTTAAGCTACTTTTGGAAATTCAGCAGTTGACTGGCTCATATTCCATCAATGAAGTGCTAAAAATAATAATAAAAAATTGGCACTTAGTCTGATAATGTTGATTTTCACTAAATCTGATTAAGTTATCTTTCATGAACTAAGTGTATGAAACATGTTCAAATTTAACGGTGAGAAATTTTTTTTTCCTCTCTGTTAATCAGCATACACCATTTTATCTGTTAGTTACAGACACTGTGTTAGAGTGATACAAAAGAGTAACAACTCTAATCCTATTTGGAAGAGGGGGAAAAAAACAAAAAGAATAAGCCATCTGTATTTCCACCTCCTTCATTTTGATGGAGGAGTGATTGCTAGCTATCCTGTACACGCTACTCTTGCCAAGATCCCAAGTTATCTGTAGAGGCAGAAGTGCATCAGGTGCTGGCTTTTTAGCCAAGGCACAAGTGTCACTAACAGGGCTTATGCTACTTTTGATACCTGAACTCAGAATTATACACAATGCCATTCTATGTTAACATACATATCTCTACGTCATTCATCAGAGCACGATATGTGCACAGATCAAATGGAGCTAGTGCTTGGTACAGAGCACAATCCAAGCAGCTTTTCTGTTTCTGAAATGAACTGTGCCGAATACAAACAGAAAAAAGAACTATTCTCCTGGGGCACTCGATAAGCTGTAAGCAGAAGGGGGTCAGTAGCAGCATTTCACTTTCATCATATCAATCCCAAGAAGAAAGAGATGAGCAGTGAGAAACTCTTTTCACAGTATCAGCCACAGAGGCACAACTGTCAAATGTTACTTTTTCTGGACTTGGGATCTATGTGAGTGAGTACCTGAGCTCAGTGCAGCCAGAAAGGAATCATGCACTTTTACTGCCGCACTGTTAACTTTACTCACGTTCCAGAATTAATGATTAGACTTACGAGATTGCTTTATTTTACTATAAGCTTTTTTCCTTAAAAACTTACTAATTATTCTTAGTTGGACAGAGATCAATATCACAGAAGTGAAAAGTTACAGGGAACTAAAGCTGTCAGTCACTGAATACATCAAATTTTTATTATTTGTATATAAATATAAGACAAGTGACAAAAATCCCAAAAATATAGTTGTGTAAGGTGCTTCTATAGTACAGCCTCCAGTTGCAGAAGGCATTTAGTCAGTAAAAATTTTCAGAATGGCTGCAACGTTCTTGCACTATTCTTGAACTATTCTTCAAGTACCACAGTATTTTGGATATCACTAAAATAAATTAATATGATCAAATTGATATCAGCTTCTCCAATATAAATTATCAACCCATGGGACAATCCATATAGTCATATTCCCTTTGGGCAGAGCTCAAGCTGTTGTACTGTGAAGGTAAGTCGAGAGCCAAGACAGAACTTAAAAGTTGCACGCATTATTTGGAAACTACTCATT